GGGCGGAGGCTCGAGCACACGCCTTGGGGCTTGTTGGGCTTGGGCAGGCAGATCAGCGTCCCGTGCCGAGCTGAATCGGCTGTCCTTTGGTAAAACCGTCGTTGAGCAGCTGTGCGAGGGGCGTGGCGATGAGGTCGGCGGCGGCCTTGAGAACTTCGGCCGGCATGGTGTCTGGGCCGCAGGCGCGGTTGTTGCGGAGCTTCTTGATCGCGTCGTAGAGTTCGACGGGCGTAATGGGCTGGTCGAGCGGTCGGGCAGTCGTGTCGGGCTGTACGGTGGCGTTGGTCGAGCTGGCGAACTGGGCCTGGAAGTGAGCGGTCACATGCTTGGCTGTCTCCTTCGTGTCCATGATGATGTGGCTGTGCTGGTCCTTGAGGCGAAACTTGGACGTGGGGCGCCGGAGCGTGGCCTTGACGGCGGCGAACATCTGCGAGGTAGGGCCCAAGTCTTCGATCTCTTTGACGAGGGCGTCGGCTTCAGCGTTGGCAAGGTCGCGGCAGCGCATGCGGATCCTATGCATGACTAGGTTGCGTTCGATGCGGAGGTCTCGGGTAGCGGCGGGGTCGGCGGTCTTCATGTTGTCGATGCGTAGGCGCAGCGCCTTCTGGTCACGAGCCAGAGACGCCAGGATGGCGTCGTCGTACCTGTAGCGGCTCGTGGTCTCAATAATTGTATATACCGGTAACTCAGTTCATATCTCACAACAACAAGCAACACATCTCACAACAACAAACAACACACGGCGCCGTCGCCGCTGGTCCACGAACAACCGCTTTGGTCCAACCAGTTTCTCCCGGTAGATAGCTGTAGTTACATAGAAAAGACCACAAGATGGCACACTCGATACGCCCGGACGATGGCCAAGATCGGGATCACTCAAGCCCAGCACGTCCACGCCTTGATGCTCGCCGCCGCCCCGACGGAGACGCTCGCGACAAGAACTCAACGCCTCATCCACGCGGTGACGACAGAGTGCCGCGGCCGCGACCTCGGCCCACACGTGATACCGAACGACA